ACTTCGGAAGGAACCAGCTACTAGATGGTTCGATTAGTCTTTCGCCCCTATACCCAAGTCTATCGATCGATTTGCACGTCAGAACCGATACGGACTTCCACCAGAGTTTCCTCTGGCTTCATCCTGCTCAGGCATAGTTCACCATCTTTCGGGTCGTTTGCCAACTGCTCAACCTCTACACAGTCACAAGTGACACGTATAGGGCCGTGGTGCGCAGCACTCCGAAGAGCACAGATCCCACGTCGGTCAATTCGAGATCGACCTTCACTTTCATTTCGCCGCAAGGTTTTAACACCCTTTGACTCGCAGTAGACAAGCACTCCGCAATCCGTGTTTCAAGACGGGTCGGAAACGTCGTTGACTTTCACACCGACGTCACACACACTAGTGTAACTAAACGCTAGCCGCCACGAACCAACTACCGACAACAAGACACCGACTCTTGCGAGCTGGGCAACATTATCGGGCCAGAACGAGCAGCCAACGCCGTCGGCGTTGCATAGGAGACGACACCCGGCAACGATCACAACTAAGCGACCAGCCACCAAGCTTGTCTCCAAGCGACATCAACTGTCTCCGGTTCCACTCCAGCGATTTCACGTTCTCTTGAACTCTCTCTTCAAAGTCCTTTGCAACTTTCCCTCACGGTACTTGTTCGCTATCGCAATCGAGTCGATATTTAGCCTTAGATGAAGTTTATCACCCACTTTAGGCTGCACTTTCAAGCAACCCGACTCCAAGGAGCAATCGAACCAACAGCATCGCTATCCAGAACGGGGCTCGCACCCTCTCTGGTTTATGGCCTCAATCGTAAGGACTTCGGACATACGACACTGCTGGAAGACTACACCTATACGCCACATTTCGTAGCAGCCAAAGACTGAACGATTCGGCGCTGGGCTCTTCCCGTTTCACTCGCCGTTACTAAGGGAATCCTTTTTAGTTTCTTTTCCTCCGCTAAATGATATGCTTAAGTTCAGCGGGTAATCACGACTGAGTTCAGGTTGAGATTAGCAAGACACGCACCGTTGTGATCGTGAGCACCGAATGAGAATCCGACACTCTCGAACATTATCAACGAACCCCAGTATTCAGAAGCGAGCGACGTTCCGGTTAGACAGACGAATCGGATCCTATCAAAGACACGTAGAGTTATACACGTCTTGATGTTCACCAGTACATCATAGAAGTCAAGTTGGACGCCATTTGGCAGCTCACTCTGATATAAGAGTAGCGCGTCACATTACGAACCTCCAACGAATCCCGAAGAACTCGCTAGAAGCTCGACTTGTGATGCTTCGGTACTAGAATGAGATCGTGCTTCACTCCGAAGAGCAATGCTCAATGTCATCCGACAAGCCGACACTCCTCGCCCGAAAGCAAGGTGTGTGTTGGCAATGAGTTATTCAACCCTGAACCAGACGTACCGACTGGTGACCCAGTCGGTGCTATGCGTTCGAAATTTCACCACTCTAAGCGTCTGCAATTCGTGGTAAGTAACGCAGCAAGCTGCGTTCTTCATCGATACTCGATGCGACCGATCCATCGCTGAAGCTAGTACTTATTATCGAATCCCCGAAAGGACTCAACAACGAAGCCACCAGCGCGAGAAGGCACCGAAGTGCTATCCCACACGGCAACCGTGTACTGATTCAAATAGAGAAAGGTGCGTTTGTGTTTGTTGGCGTCACGCAAGTGATCATTAAGGCTATCATCAACGACGAACAATCCCGAACGAGAGAGCCCATCTTGACGCATAAAGCCACCATCCGATAATCTCCGAGAAGAAAATCAGCACAAAGCGGTTTGTGTTGGAGACGACTGGTCAACGCACACCCCGAAGAGTGAGCACCAACGCAATCATTAAGCCATGACAATAGTGATTTTGGGATAGCCGCCACGCCCCTCAGCGGACGGCCATCACTACTATCATTGTTTTGTGGCATCTCAACAACCTCTGGCGAGGAACGTTATCATTTCGACACACGAGCCAGCAACACCACCCCCGGAGAGGCGACGTCACCGACAAGAAGCGCATCTTATAAGGTTTGTGGAAAATCCCAGGTCCCCTCCGTAGAAGTTCACGACGATGATCCAGCTGCAGGTTCACCTACAGCTACCTTGTTACGACTTTTACCCGGTTCAAACCAATGCGATAAAAATGGTTTCCGCAACAACGAAGTCCGAAAACCTCGAAGCGACAGTCCCCACTCTTCTCGAATCAGTTCAGTCCCGGATAGCGACGGGCGGTGTGTACAAAGGGCAGGGACGTAATCAACGTGAGCTGATGACTCACACTTACTAGGCATTCCTCGTTTAAGGGCAATAATTACAATACCCTATCCCGGACATGGAAGAATTTCAACGGTTTACCGATACCTTTCGGCATAGGAAAAACCCGCTGACTCCACCAGTGTAGCACGCGTGCAGCCCCGGACATCTAAGGGCATCACAGACCTGTTATCGCTCAATCTCGTGCGGCTAAACACCGCTTATCCCTCTAAGAAGTTATACGAACCCGAAGATTCGCCGACTATTTAGCAGGCTAGAGTCTCGCTCGTTATCGGAATAAACCAGACAAATCACTCCACCAACTAAGAACGGCCATGCACCACCAACCACCAAATCGAGAAAGAGCTTTCAATCTGTCAGTCCTAATGGTGTCCGGACCGGGTGAGTTTTCCCGTGTTGAGTCAAATTAAGCCGCAAGCTCCACGCCTTGTGGTGCCCTTCCGTCAATTTCTTTAAGTTTCAGCTTTGCAACCATACTACCCCCGGAACCGAAAGACTTTCGTTTCCGGATAGCTCCTCGGCAGGGCAAAAACCCTCCGAATCGCGAGATGGCATCGTTTACGGTCAGAACTAGGGCGGTATCTAATCGCCTTCGAACCTCTGACTTTCGTTCTTGATTAATGAAGACATTCTTGGCAAATGCTTTCGCTATTGGGCGTCTCACTACGGTCCACGAATTTCACCTCTCGCGTAATGATACGAATGCCCCCGGTTTGTCCCTCTTAACCATTAAATCAGTTCTAGAACCAACAAAAAGAACCGAAGTCCTATTTCATTATTCCATGATGAGCTATACAAGCAAAAGCCTGTTTTGAGCACTCTGATTTATTCAAGGTAAACCTGCTGGCAGTTGAAGGGCGAACCCAACCTCAAACCAGCAAATTAGAAGTCACGGCTACAGTTGACGCACGAGGGCGAACTGCAACACGTAACCTAGATCCAACTACGAGCTTTTTAACCGCAGCAATAACGAGATACACTAGGAGAGCTGGAATTACCGCGGCTGCTGGCACCAGACTTGCCCTCTCCTTGCTACTCGAAGAATCATTTATATTCAACTCATTGAAATAACTCATCCAAAAGGATGAGTCTTTATATTTTTAGTCACTATCTCATACTCAACAGTGGATAAGTTTCGCGCCTGCTGCCTTCCTTGGACGTGGTAGCCGTTTCTAAGGCTCCCTCTCCGGAGTCGAACCCTTATTCTCCGTTACCCGTAACAACCATGGTAGTCCAATGAACTACCATCTAGTTGAAAGGGCAGACACCCTTTTCGGATAGAGTCAGTCGAAACTGACAGTAAACTGCTTTATTCAGAGTCAACAAACAACGTCCGAGAACGTTTGGTCTGTTCTAATAATTGCACCCCGCCTTGCGTTGGGGTATAGTTGCATGTATTAGCTCCAGTATTTCCGCAGTTATCCATATAGGATTCCGAATAAGGTGATATCTGCTCTAATGAGCCGTACGCAATTTCATTGATGAATCAAAGCATGCATGGCTTAATCTTTTACTTGAGCATATCGCGCTGACAGAATCAATCAGGTATTACGCAGACAAGAAGTCTAGCGAGTATAGGTTATGCCTGCATGACCGACAGAAGTAGTCACAACCCGAAAGCTGATTTCGTATCCCGACAAAGTCAATTGGCAAGGTTTATTCTCGTAAACTACTCCCAACGAATATGACCGATAAAGCAGTAACATTAGATACATCAGTAGAGATGCAACAAACGAATCTTTCCGAGTAGTCGACTAGAAAACCGAAGCAATCAAGCCAACTAAACATCTAGAAACGCCGCAATGGTGATCAGAACTCGTTTCCAAGCACGCCCCCATTGCTATTTAGATGAGTGTACGCAGGGACCACGACCGCGCTCACAATGCCTAAACATCATAAGACACACGCCGCAGTACGCAAACTCGACCGACGGACACGCCGCACGTCTCGCTCGCAACCACTACCACTCCCCTAACAATGTATACACGCATCGGTGCTGCTGCAACACGCAGAGACGTACGGGTCGTCTCGCGCAACATATGTTAAACATTGCGAGCGGACGCTCGTACCGATCGATTGCTGTTCGCGCAACATATGTGAAGCATTGCGAGCGACGAGCGGTTTGTGAGCGGTTTGTGAAAAATAATGTGAAAGTGTGTTTTGCGGGTGCGAGCGCTGTTTTACACTGTCAAAATGGCAAAAGTCATAGAGTAGCTCCGAGTAGTCATAGAGTAGTCATAGAGTTTAGGCATTTTTTAGACGATTTATGGACGATTTTTAGACGATTTATAGACGATTTTTAGACGATTTATAGACGATTTTTAGACGATTTATAGACGATTTTTAGACGATTTATAGACGATTTTTAGACGATTTATAGACGATTTTTAGACGATTTATAGACGATTTATAGACGATTTTTAGACGATTTTTAGACGTTTTTTAGACGTTTTTTGTTGTGATTTATTGAGCATTTGTCCTATATACCAGTACTACTGGGACATTCGTTTTCGGAGTTCTATCTTCAGGGGCCTAACTAGGCATTTCTATGGGCTCAGCCTATGTTTTTTCGACACTCTAGGCACTGGGGAAGATGTTCCTGAAGTTTCTAGACGATTGAAAAAAAAACCTCTCACTTCACCACCTACCCACTCTTCACTCCCACCCCTACCATTCATATATGGCCCATGGCTCCTGCGTCTGGGTCTGCCGCTATGGTATAGTGGTTAGCACACGCGTTCATCGTTCTCGGTGTCCAGGGTTCGAGCCCCACGTGTGGCGTCTAAGGTTCTATGGGCCGAAGGCGTCATAAGAATTATGGGAGGGAGCTCCGAACGAAGGAAGAGGTTAGATTCAGAGTCATACCTATTATTCCGACTGAAACTAAATACTATCATCATCAAAAGTGATAGTACTTGGGACTAAGTTGGGAAAAAAATGGGGTGGCAAAAATCGAACCCAACCCAGGGATAGTCTCAGCAGATCGAGGGAAGAACCCTCGGATTTTTGCAAAAACATGCTATGCTAAAACATGCTAAAAACATGCTGCGCGCGCCCAAACCGGCGCCAAAAACCCAAGTTTGGGATTTGTGAGTTGACTCAACTCACTTAAAAAACCTTTTGAAAAAGGGCAACAAAAAACTCAATCAAAGGATAGTCTCAACAGATCGCAGTATAAGAAGACTGCTCTACTGAATACAACACCTTGACCAAGAGACCAAGTCGTATGCAAGTGATTTAGCGCCCCGACATTGAACCAGAGTGATCTGGCGTTGGCAAGCGTCGCAGAGTTCACTACGACGCCAAGGCCATACATAGGGCATAAGCTCTCGTGTTGCCACGAGATAGAGATGCCTCCCGACATCGGGAAGCAAGAAATTTTCGCCTTGACAAGGCGAGATTGATACCAGTGCCAACTGGTATATTTGGGGTCGTTCAGTCGGGTCGTCCGGAAAAGTAGCCTCGGGAGAATCGGCATAACTTTTTTTGTAGACAAGGTAGGAGTCTAAAAATTTTTGGGCGTATAGAGGGGGTCCTGGGCTACATTTCATCAGTTGAAAACTTTTTCTGAAAATGCATGGGAAGGTGACAGTACCGTGCGCAATGTTTGGGGAGCTTATAACTCGGAGGAGAAATGGGCGACCCCCATTTTTTAAAAACTATTTTTGCGTAAAAAAGTGTGCTCTACAAGATGTGCTTATTCGTTTTGCTGGCAAAATTCGGAAAAAGGGTGTTTACTGATAGGAAAAAGCGGTTTTTTGAGATTTTGTTGATTTTTTCGCAGGAAAAGTGAGGTTTCGATTACACCATTGGAATCAGCACAAAAAACTGCATCGATTCTCATATTAAAAGTTTAAAGAAACCTTTAAAAAAATTTTTTTTTGAAAAATTTTTCTAAGTCCCCCCCCTCTCTCATCAAACGAAATAGTAGCTTTGGGAGAAATGGCATAACTTTTTTTGTAGACAAGGTAGTAGTCTAAAATTTTTTGGGCGTATAGAGGGGGTCCTGGGCTACATTTCATCAGTTGAAAACTTATTTCGAAAGTGCATGGGAAGGTGACAGTGCCCTGCTCAAAGTTTGAAAGGCCTATGACTCGGAGGGGAAGAGGGCGACTCCCATTTTTCTAAAAGTATTTTTGCCCAGAAAAATGTGCTCTATAAGGTGTGCTTATTCGTTTTGCTGGGAAAATTCGGGAAAAGGGTGTTTACTGATAGGAAAAAACGGTTGTTTGAGGTTTTCGTGAGTTTTTCGGAGGAAAAATGAGGTTTTGATTACACCATCGGAATCAGCGCAAAAAAATGCATCGATTCCCATATTAAAAGTTTAAAAAAACTAAGAAAAAAATATTTTGTTTTTCTGAAAAAATTTTCGAAGTGCATGGGAAAATGACAAAACTGTACATATAGAAAACACAAAATATTCCCGCTCTCACTACTCAACTGCCAATGCTGGATAAATGACAACAAGAAACCTCTGAATAACGTCTAAAACGTCTAAAAAAATTCAAAATAGTGTCTAAAAAACGTCTAAAAAATGTCTAAAGAAAGTCTAAAAAGTGTATGAAAATTGTCTAAAAAATGTATAAAAAACGTCTAAAAAATATCAAAAATTATGTCAAAAAATATGTATAAAAAATGTCTAAAAACTTGGTAAAAAAAATTTAAAAAAAAATTTTTTTTTTTTTTTTCGAAATTTTTTTTCGTCTCCGGAGCTACTTTTTTACCATTGTCATTTTGACAGTGTAAAACAGCGCTCGCACCCGCAAAACAAAAAAAAATTTTTTTTTCACAAATTGCTCGTTGCGAGCGCGCGCTCGCAATGACTTCCATATTGTGTGCGACTATCAATTGCTCGTTGCGAGCGCGCGCTCGCAATGCTTCGAATGTGGTGTGCGATATGAGCGATACGTGTCTGCGTGTTGCAGCAGCACCGATGCGTGTATACATTGTTAGGGGAGTGGTAGTGGTTGCGAGCGAGGCGTGCGGCGTGTCCGTCGGTCGAGTTTGCGTACTGCGGCGTGTGTATTATGATGTTTAGGCATTGTGAGCGCGGTCGTGGTCCCTGCGTACACTCATCTAAATAGCAATGAGGGCGTGCTTGGAAACGAGTTCTGATCACCATTGCGGCGTTTCTAGATGTTTAGTTGGCTTGATTGCTTCGGTTTTCTAGTCGACTTCTCGGAAAGATTCGTTTGTTGCATCTCTACTGACGTGT